AACCCTAAATGTCTTCATTTCACACTTAAATATGGAAGTTGGAATACCAATTGCTGGCAATTCATTCACTTGGTGACTATTGGTACATAGGTCATATTGTGATAAATTATTTGACAGCATGACTTCTTCTATTAGTTGTAGTCAGCAAAATGGAATTGAAGTCCATACAAGTATCTTATGTCCTTGGGAAGCATCGTCCTGGTCTTTTCATGGAAATAGGCACTATGTTAATTAGATCCCTTTTGTGATCACATGGTCTCTTAACGATGATAAAATTCTAGGCTGATATAAGATCATGGCACATAAACTCTTTGCCCATAGTTGTCGTAGAAAGGAGAGAAGATATTGTCCATTAACAAAGATATAACTTTGCTTGTGTGAAAATCCAATTTCTAATGGAAAAGGTTGCAATTCAAGGTTTCATTCTTTTACGCTGTGTTTGGTTGGGGGATTTAGGAAGGGAAATGGAAAGGGAAATGGAAATGAAAGGAAAAGGAGAAAGAATTAATAGAATTCCAAATCCCAACTATGTTTGGTTGTGTTGGGAATCCAAGGAGGAAAAGAAATCATTTCTCATGAACTCTCTCATTGTCCTTCACACACAGAATTGTAGTCATGAATTGCAATAACAAAAAATAAGGTTGCACATGATCAAAGTGCTATTTGTTTTTTAGAAAAAAAAAAAACAAAATTAATTAATTTTTTTAAAAAAATAAAAAATCAATCAAAATAAAAAATTAATTTATTATATTTTGATATATATATATATATATTAATTTGATAAAAAATTAATCAATCAAAATAAAAAATCAATCAAAATAAAAAAATTAAAAATTAATTTGATAAAAATAAAAAATCATAACTAAACAAAACTTTATTATATTTTCTCGACAAATATATATATATATATATGTTATTTTCTTCTAATTTTTCTAATCCAACCAAAAATGTATGAGAACATAACAACCACATCAATCACTAGAGCACAGAACAAGTGAAAACATATAGTCAAACACTAAAATTACATAGCTCATCTTTTTTTATTTTCTTTTTCTGTTTTTGAGAACACTGAAGATGCATATATGATTGAATTTCCCAGCAAACAAAAGCATATGAGATAGAGAGAAAAATTATGCTCATGCAAAGAATAATTCCACAGAGAGGAGATTTACATATATTTATATATGATATTATTATATTGTTGGTTGCAACCATGAAAAAATGCTATGCTGCTTACAGACAGACACAAACCAGCATCATTGGTGTGTAAATAAAACAGCATTGATGTGGAATTCTAAACCAACAAACACCAACTTTTGACATATTGTAAGTAGCAAACCAGCCCAAACACATGTAAAACTACAATAGTATACTGATATATTGACAATAATATAAAAAAAAAAAACAAAGAAATAACATCAATGTATCATAGTACAGCAATGCATCACAACCACCTACAGACAGCTAGCATCAGCAGCAGCATAAGTGCAGAACACCAAACCAAAGCATAAGACAGCATCAGCAGCAGAACATCAAAACCAAGACACCAGACTCATCCACCAATATAGAAAACATAACATCAATGTATCATAGTGCAGCAATACATCACAACCACCTACAGACAACTAGCATCAGTAACAGCATAAGTGCAGAACACCAAACCAAAGCATAAGACAGCATCAGCAGCAAAACATCAAAACCAAGACATCAGACTCATCCACCAATATAGAAAACATAACATCAATGTATCATAGTGCAGCAATGCATCACAATCAGAATAACAGATTCATCTACCAAAATAGACTCACCACCAACTAACAGAGTCTACATACAAAAAATCCAAGCCTAATGATATTTTCATAGATTCACCAAATCCCTGAAATATTCAAATAAAAAAGTACCAACGAAAGAAAAATAGTACTACGCATCAAAGATTGAAGATCCGAATTTAACAGACAACCAAAGACCTCGACGTTTAATAGGGCATTCTAGGTATGCTCAAGCATCACTCACTTCTTAGCAAGAACTTGATACACCTTCATTCGAAAAGCATCACTCATGCCACTAACCTTCTCAATCTCCTCAAATAATTGTCCATATGTGTAGTTCCGAAGGTTACCACGATCAAGCGCTACTGCAACTGCATCTAGACCTTCCTTAATTGACCTTATTTCCTCACTCAGAGTGCCACCTAATTTATTCTTTCTCTTCTTTGAGTTAAAGGAACAAGATACTTCAGCAGTTTGGTCATCTTGAGTTCCAATCCCATCAAAATTCTCTGAGAGTGACTCAGTATGATCAGTATTTTCATCATCCAAAAGAATTTGTTGCCCAACCCAACGAAGTCGCTTTTCTTTTGGACCTATAGCAAGACTCCCAGTTGCTCGATCCTTTTCGAAGAGTTGACATAACTTTTGAAAGTTTTGAATTGGAGCATGTCGAAACTGAGAAGCTTTAGGCTTTGCCTATAGAGAACAACATATATAATATTATATTAAATAATGATGAACAAATATTGTAATTTTCTAGTACAGAACTACATCAATCTGACAATTAGATATACCTTGAGGTAAGCTGCCCATACACCTGCTGTAGCTTCAATCAGTTGTGTTCAATGATTATATCCAAATCCACTATCAGTTGTTAACATATCTTTAGCCATTGCAAGATTCCTTTTTAAAGTCTTCAACCGATCCCTTACATGACTGGAATCACAATGTACACTAAACTGGGTACTCACCGCATTGCTTGCAGCTCTATAAGCAGATGATGTAAAACTACCACCAATTTTTTGCCCTTTGAGCATTTGGTCCAAGAGTGAGTCAATAAGAACAACATCCATTTGATTATTCCATTTCAAATGTTTCTTGTCAATTTCTACTGAACATTCTTGGTCACCTTCCACCTACACTCAAAAATGCCATAAAACATATCGGAAGAAGAGCATAGCTAGTAGCAAATTATCACCCAAACAAACGCAATGTTTCACATAATACAATAACAAATTAAAATATAATTCATTCCAAGATAACATTCAAATAATAATAATTAACTTGTCAATTTTTTGTTTTATCAGCAAAAGAAAAATATTATATTGATTTAAAGCAAATGAGTACATAATGGGTACATCACAAGAACAAGAACAAGAACATCAAATAACCCTTCTAGCCCCTCTCTGTTTTCCAAAATCCATATTATAATTTGATTGTCATTGAAGATTTATATCATAATCTCTCCACATGTCAGTAGCTATTCGCTCCCTTAACAATTCTCGTTCCCTACATTCGTCAGCTAAACTTGATCTAGCCACGTTAGATTGCACTTGTGCTCTTCTAACCTCTGTATCAACCTCCTCAATAAGACTTTCATTGGGATCAACACCCATGAGGTAGTTGTGCAAAATACAACAGACCAAAACAATATCTGCTTGAGTGTCAACATCATAATATGGCTCTGTCCCACTTCCTAAAATTGGAAACCTTTTCTTTAGGACACCAAAGGCTCTTTCAATTGCATTTCGCAAAGATGCATGACGAAGGTTGAAAAGCTCTCGAGAATTTTCTGGTTGATGAACACTATACTCCTTCAAATGGTAACGAGTACTTCTATATGGAGCAAGGAACCCAGTTTTTAGTTGAAATCCTGCATCTACTAAGTAATATTTCCCTAGGACCAACAAGTAACTAAATGATGTTAGTTTGAAAGAAAATAGATTTATATTCATCAGCATATATACACGTTCAGTGATCACCTTGAGGAACGATCAATTTATCCATTTCTCTTGTTAATGCATTATCTAATATTCTCGAGTCTGAAGCAGATCCTTCCCATCCCGGAAGGATATATGTAAACTTTAAATCAAAAGAACATGCAGCCAAAGCATTTTGAGTGGGATAGCATTTTCGTCCTCGGTATCTTTGTGCATCCTTGTTTGGCACTCTTACACGAAAATGTGTACCATCAATCGCACCAACACAATCCTGTAAAAATTCATTATTTGTATCCAAACATATAATATTATATACCCTAATTGCATTCATGTAACTACCTTAAAATAAGGCCAATACTTGGGATTGTTTCTAATCTCTGGAGGGCAGTTGAATCCATCAGGTTGCTTTAAAAAGATATCTTCCAATGATATAATGGCTTGAAGAACTTGATGAAAATATCGACTAACAGTCTCACCTGATCGTCTGTAAAAGAACTTGATCGTACGATTCCTCAAATTATGGCCAATTATATGAAGGAATTTTGCAACTTGTTCTTCTACTTTACTTTGAGGATTGTCTCTAAGAAACTGAGTTCTTTTAAGCATGCTAACTAGTGTGGCAAACGCATCTTTGCTCATGCGTAACTGGCTACGACAATCTGCATCTTCCAAAGTCGTTAGCCGTTTAATTAGGGCATATCTTTCATAATCTCCTTGTTCTGAAATTGACTTCCTTATATGATCACGACAATGAAGAATTGAGACAAGGCTGACAGCATATGAAGCATACATAGCTACACAAGTGGCTGCCCACTTTCTATACTTTTCCCACTCCTCTTGATCATTTATCTACAATTTTTTAATATAAAAAATCACATCCACTTGTTAATAATGTTCCAGAATTGAAATGATACTTCAAAAAGTTCATAGACTAGGCAACACTCAAAATGACAACCCATTTGGTTGGTTAACTTGAAGCATGTAAAAGTGAATAGGAGACAACAAGTTAATGCAAAAATATGAATTTCTAGGCCTACTGTATCTTTTTTATATGGTGTTACATTTGAATTCTTCCTTGGTCAAATGGTAAACTATTTGGATGTTCTACTGGATATGGGTAGTAATCGGAAACTATTGGGAAATATATTATTTGATTATTAGAAATTGCATTTGTAGCAATTCATTTTTGCATTATATTTTTTGAGTGATCTGATCTCTATCTTGGCAGTCTTCTCAAGCATTCTAAGCAGGAAAGGAAGCTAATGGATTTAATCCTAATAAAGGCTTCATAAATGCCTAATTCAGGATCACTTGTGAAGATGAAAACTGCACACAGTGCTACAACCAGTGGTGGACCCAGAAATCATTAGTAGAGGTGCGATGTTAACTCAAAATTAAAACAGTGAATTTGTTACGAAATGAAAACAGAACCATCTAATAGTAATGACGTTAGCAAATTCTCCAATATGACAATAGTCATTTATCAAAAATGAGGCATTCAAATGCTTGCAATCAACGAAAAAGGTCCAGTTAGACTGTTAAAGGAACGTGTGTGGGGAGAACACAAAATAACCTCAAACTCATCAAGGGAAAAAAAAAAACTAAAAAGAATACAACTTCTAAGCCTTGAGGAACCCTAAGCACGTTTGGTTGGAAAAGCCAAAAAAACTTGTATGGTAGACTGCTTGAATTGATTATCATAAAAACAGAAATAGGTCACAAAATATTCTATTTTGCAATTTTTTGCATAATGAAGCATTAAAGAAAGAAAAAACAATAACCATACAAACCGCAGACACAAGATAACGAAACCAACCACGATGGCAATGACAACAATGGAGACAATGATATTAACCTGTTTTGAGGCATATGCTAACCTATTGAATATACTATTGGTTCACAGATTCAAATTTGAGCCAGAAATAGTTAACTATACAACACAGCTTGTCATTGTTTCAACTTTGCTGTCAAGGCCCAGTTGCATGTTGCTCAAATCTAAGAATCTTGAGCAATGAGGGTCCATAGTAGCTTTCTTGTGGAATAAACTATACAACAAAAAGCTCTCACACAAAAGTTGAAAACCCAAACAAAATCTCCCTCCCATCATCACCGCTTTGTGGGCTCCATATGATCTAATAACGGCTGATTCAAGTTCATTGGTAGACCACACATTTCGTGTGGAGTGTGGGATTGAAAACAACCATTTACGAAATGTCTCTTCCTGTTTAATACACTATATGGCTCTGGATAATCATGTGGCTTGAAACTGTAGGCTGTTTTTGAGAGCCACTCAAAATTTCAAGGTCTTCTTTGAAACATCTACAAGGCCTTGTCTTGTTTTTACTTACAAACGAAACAGGGTACAGAAATATTGGTCTGATAATATTATGGTGGACGAATTTATTATTATATAAATTTGTTACTAGAACTTGATATACTTGAGTTGATTTCTGTGTTAGTCAACTAAACTACCACTCTCAAAAACATAAAAATAAAATGAGAGAGAGGGGCAAATTCCATTTTATTACTAAACTGTGCATATAATGTATGGGTAATTCTATTTCTATGCATTAATTCCTGATCGAAAACGAAACTGTGTATGTATATTACTAAACTGTGCATATAATCTATGGGTAATTCTATTACTCTGAACAAATCCATGTATCTATAATCTCTAATTCGTAATAAAATATATATATATATATATATATAGGTGTGTGTATGTATGGAATTTTCAATATAGATCTGAGTTTGATGAGAGGAGAAGAGAAAACGAAAGAGGGGCACCAATACCTGATCGAAACTTTCGGGCAATGAATTATCAATCGAGTTCAGTGATTGAAGATCACCAATTGAAGCAGATGATGATCCCCGATTGGAGCGATTTTCTGAATGATGCTGCGAATCAGAAATTCCTACCAGAGTTAGATCTGCAATTTCACTTCGAAGCAAAATTGTAAAGCAGCTTGAACATAAATAAACAAATTGGTGGAAATCAATAGAGATCTGAGTTTGATGAGAAGGTAAGAGAAAATGAAAGAGGAGCACAAATACCTGATCGAAAAATCCAAGCAATGAATCTTCAATCGAGTTCATTGATTGAAGATTACCAATTGAAGCAAATGATGATCCCTGATTGGAAGAGTTTGCTGAATGATTCTGCGAATCAGAGTTTGCTACCGGAGTTAGATCTTCAAAACTCGTCGATGGTGGTTTTTTGAAGCTACTCATGAATGGTTTCCTGCAAGAAGCCATGAACAATGAAACTCTCTCTCCCCGATAAATTTTTCCCCTCAGTTTTCCCGATTTTTTCTCACAGATATAAAATATAATTGATGTCCTAAAAGTCTCCTATTTCTTTATTTATTTCTCACTCCCTTTCTTTTCCCATATATTTTTTATTATAACCAAACATAAATAGGATTACATTTCTCATTCCTTTTCCAAATCTCACCCCAAATCTCCCAATCAAACACAGCATTAATGTTTTCCCTCTAGATTAGTCTGAATTTAGTTTCCTGCATTCTTCTTAGGGAAATAATTCAAAGGTTTCTAATGGGTGTTGGTTTAGGATTTCAATATTAAAGAGAGGGATATTTTTGACAAAAAGAATTGTGCATTGAGTAAAATTATAAAATTTAAAATTAATTGATATGTGCATTGAGAGAGAATGTGGAATGAGATGTTTTGGTGTGTGGAAATAGAAGTACCCCTATGTTTTAGTATAGATTTATAAATAGTTTCCCCTCTAAATTTGAATATATACTCTTATATTTTTTTTTCTTTATTTTAAAATAGTTCCTATAATTTGCACAATTCAAATGTTTATTTTATGATAGAAATCACCTTTATGATGTTATAAAGTCTACTTTTAAATATTTATTTTCCATTCTTTTTTTATAATATTTGCTAATTATCTATATAATAAGGCAAGAAGGATTTTGAAAAATGTATCAAAATGTATGTGAGATACATTTTGATCCAATGGCTAAGATTAATCCCAAATATATATGAATGGTTTAGATCAATGGTTTATATCAAAATGTATCAAAGGTTTCCCGCATACCCTTTGTCTGCCCCATACCCTCTGTCTCCTCCATACCCTCTGTCTTCTTCCCATACTGCTGCAGAGTTGAGGTGTGTATTGAGAGAAGCAGACTGTCTTCTTACCCTCTGTCTTCTTACCCATACTCCCCCATACCCTCTGTCTTCTTCCCAAGCACATGTCAACATTTTAGCTCACAGAGCTGGGTTCTTAACTGCTGGGTGCTGGGTTCTTAGCTCACAGTTATGTTTTGGGTCTCTTATATGCACAGTTGACTATATGGATGCTTCGAAAATATGGGTCTTTTTTATATGCACAGTTTTGGGTCTCTTCGAAAATATATGTTTTGGGTCTCTTACAGTTATTGGATGCACAGTTATGGGTCTTAGCTCACAGTTATTCGAAAATATGGGTTCTTAGCTCACAGTTATTCGGAAATATGGGTCTCTTTTAAATGAGTATTCTCTCATTTTTGGGTCTCTCATTTTTATGCTTCATATGGGTCTCTCATTTTTGTTCTTCTTCTTCAATTTTTTTTTTCCTCAACTTTTGCCTTCATCAGAGCTTCTGTGGATCACTCTGACCACTCTCACCATTGTTCATCAGAGCTTCTGTGAAACAGGAACTTCAAACAGAGGTAATCTCAGTGTGAAACTGAATTTTAAACTGATTATATTTATACTTAATATATCAATAACATGCTGGTTTTGAAGCCAGTTCAGTTCGGTGATTTTGGTGATTTTGAAATAACTCAAGGTCACATGATTCTTGGTGATTTCTTCTTATTGTAAATACTACTGTAAATGTTGTGGTGTAGATTGTTCTGGTTTATGTGACTCAACTACTTAAGTATACTATGTTAGACTTACATGATGAGTCTGGATGATAAATGAGTCTAGATGTTAAAAAAATGATGCGTTATTGTTGAGTAGCTATCAGCCAATAACTCTAGAACCTCTAGGACCTCACAAGCCATCTTCTTCACAGCTGACACATAATCATTAACAACACAACTACAAAAACAAATTAAATTTAATAAAAAAACTATTCAATTTCAGTGAAGTAAAACACCCTAAATATTTAAATTTAATAAAAAAACTATTCGATTCCTTACCAAAACATTTCTGGGTTTTTGCCAAAAATTGATACAAATCTCTGATAATTGAATTCTGGGTTTGTTGTTAGGAGGAGATATTCGACCCAACCGGCATCGCCGTTGGTTCCAATACTCTTTATACTCTTTAATATACTTAAATATATTAAATTCACTCTGGTTAAGAATAGCATTTTAAGAAAATATACCAGCATATATTTTCTTAGTTTATATTTAAAACTGGTATACCAGCATTTTAAGAATTTTCTTATATACCAGCATATATTGTAGTTTATATTTTCTTATAATATAAACTAAGAAAATATAAACTACAATATATGCTGGTATATAAGAAAATTCTTAAAATGCTGGTATACCAGTTTTAAATATAAACTAAGAAAATATATGCTGGTATATTTTCTTAAAATGCTATTCTTAACCAGAGTGAATTTAATATATTTAAGTATATTAAAGAGTATAAAGAGTATTGGAACCAACGGCGATGCCGGTTGGGGAGCCTTTTCTTTCTGTTACAGGTTAGTTGAAGCCATCTATTCTGCCGGTGCTCTCCAGCTGATTACTAGGCGGGCAGTGTGGTCAGAAAATCACCCATATAAAATTTATCTCCCAAAACCAAACCACACACACCCATACTCTTTCAAAAATTCTCAATTTTTTAAAATTGGTAAATTCTCAATTTTTTTTTTCAAAAATTTGACATAGGTGTACGGTCCACACATGGTAATTTCTTTGGTGTCCATAACATTTTGTAAAACAAATTTTTTAATGAATAAAATTCACCTTTTTTTGGTAATGTTTGTGGTGTTATGGATGAAACTTGGAAAAGAAATGTAGAGGAAAAACTCTAAAAATATTATTTGGTTTAGTGGTTTTGAAAAAAAAAATCAAAATCATTTTCTATCTCTTATACATAAATCAATCACTTTTTTTTTTTCTCCGCTTTCCTTCTGAATCACTTTTGTCTCTCACATACATCCACTCAAGTACAAACTAATATACAATCTTTTTAAATTCCCACACTCGAAAACTATTTTCAAAATATACAACCAAACAAACAAAAAAAATTGGTAAATGCTTTCCCCAATTTTTTTTTTTAAATTTATCTCCCAAAATCAAACCACACACACCCATACTCTTTCAAAAATTCTCAATTTTTTTAAATTGGTAAATTCTCAATTTTTTTTTTCAAAAATTTGACATAGGTGTACGATCCACACACATGATAATTTCTTTGGTGTCCATAACATTTTGGAAAACAAATTTTGCAATGAATAAAATTCACCTTTTTTTGGTAATGTTTGTGATGTTATGGATGAAACTTGGAAAATAAAATTGAAATTATAGTCAATTGCGCAATATTGGAAGTAGTTTATTTATATTTTCAAATAGATCTCCCTTTTTTTATTTTATTTGTCAAATACTGATTTTTCTATTTTAGTTGGTTGAAGAAAATTTTGGGCCATGTTTTTTACGTGATGTAATTGGGCACAATTACGAGCTTTACAGTTAATGGATGTAATATGTGTGACGGAATTCGTTACGACAATCCGTGAAATATTGAATTTGCATTAACCATACACGAATGCAAAGTACGACAATTTCGAAAGTATTTTTTTTTTTAAATTCATACGACATCTTAAAATTTGTAAACAGTTTAGTAGGTTATGCATATATCATTACCAAACAAGACATTAGTGAAGATTTTCACAAAACACATACTATGAAAAACATTTAAAAGCAGTCATGCTAAACAACATTGTCTGACTACCTACCATTACGCCGAATTTGGTATAACTCTACCCTTATCCGATGACGCACCTCCGCCGTTTCAACGTCCTCGTCCGTAGGCATGACGGCTTCGTCTAGGGCAGCCAGATCTGCGCGATCAGGAATATTGCCATACGTGTACACCACCGCATTTCTGACAGCAACAACTGACGCATCATCCTCGCAGTTTCTGCGTATGAAATTGTGTAATGCCATAGATGCAGCTACCAACGGCACCTGCACTCTACGAAAGTCAAACCGAGGCATGTTGTGCAAGAATCTCCACCGCGACTTCCAAGCGCCAAATGTTCGCTCAATCACACTCCGCAATGAAGAGTGGGCACGGTTGAACAACTCATCACGATTCCTCGGCTTGTGACGTTGAAAGTATGGTTGGTGATAGTGGCTGCCCTTATATGGTGCAAGAAATCCCTTCTTATTACTGTATCCACTATCCACTAGATAATAGCGACCTGTGAATGTGTACATATTAATACATATTTGTTTCACGCGTGGGCAAACAAATTTAACAAGTTATGGCATTGAACAAATAAACTATGCGTACGTACCATCCACTGCAGTTGGAAAATTATATTGCGGATCCTCGGTGACAATGTTTAAAATCCGGCTGTCATGCATGCTACCCTCCCAACCACATGACACAAAGACGAAACACATATTGAAATCACACACTGCCAAAATATTTTGAGTGTGGCAACCCTTTCGGCTAAAATACGGGACTGCTTCCGACTCCTTTATGCAAAATAAGACTTGTGACAACTGACGGAATGTAATCCGGACCCGTAGGTTGGGAATTAGAGCCGAATACGCCCTAAACTTAGTTGAAAAAGGACGTTTCGAGGGCGAAAATTCCAAACAGCCCCCGAACGACCGTGTGGCTTACATGGATAGCTTCGTCATGACAAATAGAACTTGTGAGAACTAATGGAACGTAATTCGGATCCATAGGTTGGGAGTTAGAGCCGAATACGCCCTAAACTTAATTGAAAAAGGGCGTTTCGGGGCGAAAATTCAAAACAGTCCCCGAATGACCGTGTGGCTCACACGGATAGCTTTGCCATGACAAGTAGGACTTGTGAGAATTGACGGAACGTAATTCGGACCCGTAAGTTGGGAGTTGGATCCCAATACGCTTTAAACTTACTCGAAAAATAACTTTCCGGGGGCGAAAATTCATAACAGTCCCCAAATACGCCTGACACTTAGTCGAAAAACTCGCAACACTTAGTTTAAAAAATGACGACTTTACGAAAATAACATCTACATATTCTAATAATTGCCTTTATATATTCATAGCACGAAGAAATTACATATTACATTGTTTGTTCAACTGGTTAGAATAAATATTGCATGATACATATATATATATATATATACTTTCTTTTATTTCCAAGAAGACATTTCTCGATTGTTCTACCTTAAATGCATGTTAGAACATGTTCCAAATAGCTGACTGAATTGATATTTTGTAACCAATTCTAATGTTTCATTTTTTGTTTTTCTTTGTAGATGGCTTTGTTTCATGGACTTGTGGATAATCCATATTGGTGTATGGAGAAGAATTTTCACTTTTGTGTAGAACTAATATAATACTTTTGTCGTCCTTAGCTTTTGTGTAGTTCATTATTGCTGATATAGAAAACTTTTGGCAATCAACAGATAATGACTGTCGTGGTACATATATCACCTTCTGTCGTGGTACATATATACCATTTGTCAGCATACATATAGGACGTTTTGTCATGGTCTATAGAAAACTTTTGTCGTGGTACATATGTCACCTTTTGTCATCGTATAGATTACGATGGTAATTTGTACCATGCCAAATGGTAATTTCGCTTGGTAGTAAATGTATTTTTTGTATACGGAGGGCTTTGATTTTTGTATGATATATTTTGTATGGAATTATTATTTTAGTTTGGATAATAGTTGATTTGTGTGGACTTTGACATTTAAAGTTATTTATTTTTGGTATATGGATGCAGATTGTGGAATGATTGAAAGTATGTATCATTTTGTTTATATACGTATTACAGGTTGCATTGAATATAGACAGGTTGTGGAGAAATTATAATTTTGCGATAAAATATAATATCATGTTTTTGGCAACTAAACAATTTGTAGCTAAAAAGAAATTTGAAAAAGACATTTGACGACTAAAAGTTTTTTAGCAACAAAAAAAAAAAATAGACATTTGGCGACTAAAAGTTTAGTAGCCAAAAAAACAAAAAAAAAGACATTCGGCAACTAAAAGTTTAGTAGCCAAAAGAAAATCAAACATTTGGCGACTAAAATATTTTGTAACTAAAAACAAAAAACTAAAGGATAAAAACATTTTTGCCGACTAAAATTTTAGTCGTAAAAAATGTTGAATTTTAGGCGACCAAATATTTAGTAGTCAAAAGAGAAACTCTATGCCGACTACAAATTTAGTAGCAAAAAATGTGAGTGGAGTTGATAGGAAGGTTATTATGGTGTTTGTATCAAAAATAGAAATTTAGCGTCAAAAGTAAAAGAATTGTCCTTTATAGATTGAAAATTTGAAGAATTTTTACATATAAATTCTTGATATTAAGCAATTAAGACTTTCTAATCATTGAGAACCTCATTCAATAGTCACCTAAGTTTAATGAGAAAAGTTAGGGATTATGAAAAAAAATTTAAGAAAATAATCATGAAAGATTTATGATCATTGGATTACCTTAATTAGTGTGTGGTGTTTTATTCTAAGTGTAATCCAAAGGTCATAAAACTTTTATAATTATTTTCATAAAAGGTTTTTCATAATATCTAGCATTGCTGAAGTGTAATAGGCATGTTATACATGTTGTCAAGTATGTCAAGTTTTATAGAAATTTAAAAGATCTAATAAGTAAGTAGAATAAATTAGAAGGGTGACAAATCTTCCAGTACATTTGCAAGTGAAAAATCTAGAAATCCCCTAGATGTTGATTTGTGATTACGTATCAATTTTAAGCAGAATATAACAATCCCAATCAAACAATCAAGACAAAGAGACACAATGATTTTACGTGGAAAAAACCACAATTGGATACCTCCAACTATGATAAAAAAACCACGGGCAACAGCCACAAAACAATCCACTAAGAAGATTTAAAGGAATTACACAGGTATACTCTCAATTACCTAGCGAATCCACGCCTAATTGAACCAACCTCTATGTGCCTCTTCCAACCCGTCTTCACCTCAGAATTGTCTTTACGATGAGCCACTCCGGAATCCACCAAAGCTTCCAGGCTAGAATTCTTCAGATATCCACCGAAGAACAACTCTCTCTTTTGTAGAACAAAACACAACCTTTGATGTACTCTCTTTAAACCATGAGTTGAATACTCAATAAAACATCAAAGAAAAACTACAAAGATCCCCAGATATAAACCCTAAAACCCAAAAGAGATCTGGAGTAGTCATACTAAAATCTGACCCAACACGCGAATTTATAGAATCTGTCCGCGATCTCCGCTCGAGCGCCCAACAGCCCGCTCGAGCGCGTCTTCAGCAAAATATGCGCGTGATATAACAGAGGTCCGCTCGAGCGCCAGAAAGCCGCTCGGCGTGAAATCACACATCTCAGTACTTTTGCAGGCGACCAAAACTGCTGGAACCAGGGATTCTCCGCTCGAGCGCGGGTATGTCCGCTCGACGGACAGGCAATTTTGAATACATTTTTGCATTTTGCTTCGGGGGCGCTGCCCCTCGACCCCGCCGTGGCGCTGCCCCGGACCTGCTAAGGGCGCTGCCTGCGACCCCCGCTCGAGCTGACCGGGCAGCTCGATCCCCGTAAATCAGCGAAGTGGCAATCTTGAAAGCATTAGCATCAACAAACTTCTCTGAAATGCACAATTCGGGTTGGATTCGCGATCTAACACTCATAACCTCACTGAAATAAAAGTGCGAAATAATACAACTGAAAGGAGTTTTGTCAAACGGGATTGCCAAGAATAAACCTAACAGCAAGAATTCACAACATCATAGAATATACTGCAGAAACTAACATTCTGCCTAGAATGTGCAGGAAATTGACATTCAACTTGAGCCACAGTGCGAGAGCTCAAAAATTTTTGGACCATGAGACAATAATTTATAGTCATTTAGATATGATGCTAGAACTTCACGAACAAATTGATAGGATGGACAATAAGCCCTGAAATGTTGATAAGGCCTAAGTTACGAAATTCTAATAACCATAACAAAAAACTTCGTGAGTAGCAGAAGGAGATTAATCAAATAACCACGTTGGCAAAGGATTATTTGATGTGGAAGCACAAGATATGATCACGGTGCCGTAGGAATAATGGGACAATCGATGATGCGGCAATCATATTCCATTCCATTACTTAATTAAATAGATAAAGAAGAGAGATAATAAATAGTTCAACAATTCTTAAAAATATACTGCTGAAGTAATTCCATATTCTTATATTAGTGTTAAATCAAAAACGCGATTAAATTAAAAGTTAGTTGGCACGTAGCAGTCACATGGAGAGCAAATTCGAGATCAACCGTTAGTGGTCAAGGTGCTTGCTCAAATGGGGTTTCAAGGCACAAAAATCATCATTTTTATGTTTTGTAATCATCACCAAGGACAAGAGGCTAATTTGAACTATAAAAGGACTCTATAACCATTATTTGAAGGGACCATACATTCAAGATCAACTATTGTCAATCACTTTATCAATTTATCTTTCATGGTGTAGCACTATTTTCTAGTAAAAATGTTCTATCTTTCACTTATCAATTCCTGGTAGTTTTATTCTAACTATTTATTATCTTTTACTTTAATTCTATATCATTTTGTATCAATGCAAGTTAAATTTTCTTTCATTTTAACACTAATCATTTCAGTTTTCATTTATTTTCTCTTTTTAGTCAAGTTTATCATTTAATTTTCAAAAACAGTCCCTTTTTTATTATTCAATTCTTGCAATTGACAACTTAAATTCATGCAAAGTTAGTTACTCAAGTAATATTTCACTATCACCTAAGAAAATATTAAAATCCTCTTCATCGTGACAAAACTTGAACCCATAGTTCATCTTCCTAATCACTCACAATTTCCTAAATTAGAAATCGGAAGCATACACCTTTAACTAGGTGTACAAGTCCTTACACACCCGTGCAATTTAAAGCATCAACAAAGTTGTGTTTTCCTTTTTAAGGTAAACATATGGTCATTTTGAAAAATTAAAGGGGATAATCCCGTAATTAAAGTGACGTAACCTTACATTGTTGAATGTCAATGGGAGCTTAATAAATTTCTTTTTAAAAATTGAAATAAATTCTTCAAAATGATGGACAGTAATATTTTGGTTATTATAAAATACAAAGATAGTTGTTTTTACCTGGAATGAAACTATGATAAAATGATATACCATTCAATAAATTTTTTCTTTTTAACGCTATCACATTTATAAAGAAACCTTTATTTTAAAGTAAACAATTGTCCATGTTTTTTCACTAATATTACATACTCAGAATTATTGCTTCAAATTTTACACAAAACTGTAAATTTATGGTCCACATTCATTTTATACATGGATCTACAATACAAATTTAAATCAAACTTATTTCTCAATAAAATTCTAAATACTATTTTTAAATATCTAAATTTATAATAACAATAGCGTTATCCAAAAAAATAATATCGAGTTGGTTCAGGACGTTATAATGTAACGAACACAAGCAGGAGTTAAGTTTTCAACGTAAAGCCACTGTGTTTTGTTTCCTCAAATCATTATAGAACTTAGCTATGAACTCCTCAGCAGCTTCGTCTACGTGGCTATCCCTGTCAACGTCCCGTAACGGACACGGTGAGTCCGTTATCCTCAGCTGCCTCACCATTGGGCTCAGTCCAAACCCCGGCAATGCCGGCGACGACAATTCACTATACAAGAAACCCGGCATCATCGGACTCTGCAAGAAACCCGGCAACACCGACGAGCCTGCCTCACTGTTCATCATCTCCAACGCCTTTTTAACTGCGTCAATGGTCATTATGTCATCGTCGGTGGGTGGCGCGTGAGCGCAAGGGAAGAAATGAGAGTGCTTGTGGTGTTTGCGCTGCTTGCTGAGGTTGAAGGGGTAGGCTGCTGGACTGTTGCTGCAGCTGAACTCGTACTCGTGTGGGGCGGAGAAGGACAGGTGTCGGTCGTGTGATTGGCGGTTGAAGGTGGAGGAATGGTGGTGGTGGAACATGAGGTTGTGTATGGCTTTCCCTGCGATCTTGCCACGTTTCATCATCATGTTGAGATCAACCATCAATTTTCGTTTTGATATGCCCTTTCTTACCATGAAGTACAACACACGTACTATGTGCCATAACCTTCTGGCTGCTACTGGTAGATTTGTATGTTCCATCTCTTTATTGTTTTGTGTTTTGTATCAATATAGAGAAAGATTTAATGTTTGGGGAGAGAGAGAGAGAGAGAAGACGATTTTGAATTGGGAAGAGGCAAAGGATGGAGCTATATATAAAGGCCAAAAAGGAAGAAGACATATTGCAATGCATGGATATTTTGAGTTATTTTAATCAATATGTTATAGAGTAGTTATCATCAATTAGTCCTATTAGGCTTAGTTAGGTATAAGTTCTGATTGATAAATTTATTACTGTAAATTTATTCATTAAAATAAGAGAGACTGATAAATTTATCACTTGATATTTATTAATAAAACTTAATAGGTAATAAGTCTAAAAAATAAGACTTATTGGTAATTTATTTGACTCAATTATTATTGATAGCAGAATAGTTCGGAAATAAATATATATATCTTCTATCTATCGATTTATACTATTAATATGCGAAGGCTGCTAGTGGTGTCCACAAAAATATGTCTCATGATTTGCTGACACACGTGTTATGACAAGTTGATTTAGTGATATATGACCTGTACCACAAATTTTACCTCCCACAATATATACGTATGTATATGTATTCAGAAATGTACTTAGAATATTGATGTATTTTTGGGATACGTAGCTCTTGAATCATTTATATATATATATATATATTTACAAAAGAAAAGCTTTTATCGATGAAAACAAGCATTCAAAGTATGAATTATATCAATAAATGGGGAGAAAGTGCAAAGAGTATCATAGTAAAATTTCAAGATCCCAACTAGGTTGGCACTAATAAAAATACACAGTCACTTGCTAGCACAAGCCTCAAAATTGGTAAGGAACCAACAAAAGAAACAAAAACAACAGCAACAAACTCAATGTAATAAAAACAACAACACCACCACCACACAACCTAACCACCAAACTCAATGTTCCTCAAGCTCCGCTCCTCAGACATTAACTCAAGCTCTGCTTCTCATTCTTAAACCAGCAACAGTGAAATGCAGCCCCTTATCTGTCTCAGTTTGTGCACAATATCATTAACTGAGTAATGAAATCCTTGGATTGAAGTTTTAAGCCATAATGCTATTTTAATCTTGACAAGCTCACAAAAATCATATCCCTTAGGCTGAGACCCATTAAAGACACACTCGTTTCTAAGCTTCCAGAGAGACCAAAATACAACTAAACAACCCCTCCACAACCTATTTTCCTTTTTGAAATTTCCACCAGACCACCAATGGAAACAATTCTAGGTATTGCCCACTCAACTCCCCAACACTACATCATTTCAGACCAAACACACTAGGAGAAAGGGCAACATTGGAGCAATAGATGAACAACTGATTTAGGTTCATTCTTGCAAAACACACACACATTAGCTGCATCGCTATTCAGAATACCAATTCTGTGTAGAAACATAGATGTCTTGACTCTTTCTTTTCAAGCCAACCATCCAAAAAATTGTACCTTAGGGGGGATATCCTTATTCCACACAAATTTGCAAACTTTGATCTGTGAGCCAAGCAATGTGTCACAAAATTATACAAATCAGCCACCTTAAACCCTCCTACAACTACACCATTCCAGGTAGGACAATTTGTACACCCCTGTCCTAGGTTTGGAGCAGAGTTCAAAGTGATAGCCAATCTTGAAGCCTCAATAATCATTTCCCACACATACAAAGGTCTTTTGAGAAACAACTCCCATTCTTCCAAGTTTGGTTTCCCTTCATAGAATCTGGAAAGTGAGCCCTCCTTGTTAGTTGATAATCTAAACAGCCTTGGAAACTCGACTTAGCTCTGGAATCATAATGATCTATATGAATTCGTGCTCCTCTGAGTTTATATCTTCATCTAAGTTCAGATACACAAAACCAATCATAAAATAATAGTACTACATTTATCATATATTCATACCACAATTCACATATCATTTCATATTGCACAATCACAACCATTGGATATTAATGAAATTTATGTAAGACCCATTGCATTAATAGTTGTGATTGTATCACATGAAATGATATTTGAAATGTAATATAAGTAGATGGGTGGTAAATATAGCATTATGGATCATTGAATTGATCACAAAAATTACAATAACAACAAATTGCACCAGAGTTCCCTTTAATATATATCTGTGTCAATTTAGTCCCATTAATAACATTATCGTTACAATTTTCATATTATGTTAGTATAATTCAATTAATAAGAATTTTTTTGTAAAATTAAACTAAAATCAATGACAAATTGATCCATTGATTCCTCAAAACAATTAAAGAATTGGCATACAATTTGAAATTGCCCTTCAAAACTGCAAAAAGCCTCTCTTTTAAAGATGACGAGTCGTCCATTTGCTACCATTATAATTGCTTGATTTGTCAAACGGGTGATACGAAGGTCTCATCTCATGTCAAGTGGTTGAAGAGTTGGTATATACAATTTCAAATATTTCATTTAATTTATCATTTTGCTCTTGATTTTGCTTTTTTATTTTTATTTTTTTATAGTAAATATTGTCAATTGGATTAGATTAATACTATATGAAAAATTAAATCACAAAATTAATACAATGAACTGCATATAGAAAATTGAGTTGCACTGTGGTTGAACCAGAGTTTCAAGGCCTTCAACTTCACTGTCCAGGACTTCCTGTCCAATTTAAGACAAATCAGGTACTGTTTGGGGAGTAAATCTGTCCTTTGTGGCTAATTTAGATATCAGTTTCCTGGAGGGCTGCTGTTTTGGCCTGTTGTACATCAGCTTGAGCTTTTTCCCACCTCTGGGCTAGGTTTGGTCTTGTTTTGCATTTTTTTCTCTGCTTTGTTCTTTTTTTTTTCTGTTTCGGTTTGGTTTCTCTCCAAACCCCTTTCCTCTCCTTTTTGATGTACTCTCATCTTGTATGGTTTGGTCATCAATAAAGGAAGGTTTCTTTGGCTGCTTCAAAAAATATAGAAAATTGACATAAGAGACAAATTACAGAGACTTCGAATGTAATTTTTGTTCTTACAATAAAGTAATTTGAGTGAAACCGTCTCCATAATATAGTATCTCACCATCTAAAATGCGTAATCAAAATTATATTTTGTGATTGATTTGGTACCCATTTACTCAGTGTTACTCACATGAAGAGAAACTCTCACTTTCATTTTTATATTTCTTATAAAACTCAAACACCGTAATTTATTAAAAGATATAACGTGTGGTTTGAATTTGATTTTTGTATGAGGATACCAACATTAAAATGAATGTAGAGTATACATTGCTTCTTCTTTTTTCCCTTTTTCTTTTTCGGGTTTTTTTTTCCAGCAATGCTAGGTATCATGAAAAACTTTTCATGAAAATAATCATTAAAGGTTTGTAACCCTTGAATTACACTTAAAATAAAGCATCATACACTAATCAAGGTAATTCAAGGATCATAACTTTTTCATGATCATTTTCATGAAAAAAATTTCATAATTCCTAACTTTTTTCTTATTTTTTGGGGGGTGGACTCTCAACACAAAGCAGTAGTCTATTTCTCAGCATAAAGTAATCCACTTTGGGAGTATGTCAAACTCAATAGACTTAATAGCATATGATCAAAACTCCACAATAACAAAGGCCTTTCACATGATACAATTGAATGTTTCATATGTTTTTTCTTATTCTGACCTAAACCTCTTTTGCTTTGCTTCTGCATTAAGAATTTAAAAGCATTCAAAAGTTCATCTATACATTTTATTTCCTTTTCGCATTTTCAAATATATTCACGTGGTTAATTTCTATGATATATGTTTTGTGGGCAATTTATACCGGTAATCTTTATATTTTGGCGCTTTAATTATTTGGTTCCCCATAATTTTAATTGCTTTTGACCCTGAATTTCTTATTTTGTCTCGATTCGATCTAATTAACTCAACAATATTAGCATTTTTTTATGAAAAACGTGCGTATGAGTTGCATGTATCATATATTTTTAGGGATAAAATTGTAAACTCGATCAACTTAGTAAGTTAATCTCAATCAACTCAGCAATCATTTTTTATCAAAAACTCTAACGGCGTTATCAATTAGATCAAATTGATACAAAATTTAAAATTAGGGTCAAAATTGAGTCAATTAAAAGTGTAAAAGACAAAAATGACAAAAGAAACAAAATGGAAGAGCTAACAATATAATTGATCCATTTTTTTTAATCAGTTTAATTGATTGATTGTTTGATTGGGGTACATTAGTATCAATTCATCAAAATCTCTCCAAGAAAATCAATTATATATAAATTACTTGAATAAAAAAATGACTTCTACTTACTATAAAACGTCAAGCTACAATTCTTTTCTAATTTTGAATTAAAGTTGAATGTTAGGCACACATAATGCTGATTTTTGAAAGCTTCTCTTCAGCATTAAAGGTATTTTAATGTAACATAACTGTAATTATTTATTTATTTATTTATATTTTATTTTATTTTATTTTATTTTTTTGCCAAAATGTTAGAACCTTTTATTGATAGAACTCAAAAAAGCTTAATGTTCAATATAGAAGTTGACTTTTGAGATCAAGTTCTACCTGGAAAGCATAATGGTCTTGTTTGATTCACTCGACTAATAGTGAAATATTAATAATCTTATAAAATTAGTGTGGTATTTATTATCCAATTGGATTAATCCATTTGATTAATAATCTCACCCCTATCCCATTACTGATAATCCTACAAATTTGTTCGATTAATTATCCATTGGATTAATAATCCTAAACCAAAATGTTAAAACAAATATAGAATAATTAGGCCCACAGATTAATAATCTCAATCTCATGCTCTAATCCACCCAATCAAACATGCCATATAAGTTTTCGAGCATCTCTAATGCTAAATGATAAAATAAATTATCATAAATCAAATTTTGGCGATGCTATAATCTGACAATATTAAATTTTAACAATGTTGCTTCAATGCCACACTAATCATTTCTTCTATTTTATTCAACGAAAGGTTAATTCAAAATGCTATTTGTGAGCTTTGTTATGAAAGAGACAGGAAAGAGCTCTAGCCAAAATTTCACAATTTTCCAAACATTGTGAATAATATTCTTTCGATTGACAAAAATAAATAAAATCCTAACCAATTAGCAATATGTATATAGCTAATCTTCTAAAGTAAACTCAAAAGTGAATCCTCCAATAATGCAAAATAGAAAGAAACAAATTATATGCATGTTATTCAATCACATATTAATAATTTAGTAAGTTTGGTCTACCACAGTTGGCCAATTACAACTTTTTGAACTTTTGAACACAAAGAAAGAAAGACAGAAAGAAAGAAAGAAAGAAAGAAACGTAGATCAATTGTGCCATCAAATGTTTCATGCATTTGAATGGTTGCCATAAAGGCTGGCAGTGGGTGGGTGGTTTTTTATTTTTTTATTTTTGCAATATTTCTAGTAAGTGAAAAAAAAAAACTAATAAAATTCAAAATTAAAAATTAAAAAACAATATAATCCCTTTTTCACATCTTTTTTAGGTTTGAAAGTTTTACACTAAAGCTAGATGTCCATAAAAATTTTGACAAAAACTCCATTATATGAAGTGTGATCGAGATTCAATTTTGTGGGGTCTATGACTTGAATATATTTGAACTACACATTTAAAATTTATATTTTTGAGTAAAATTTTAAATAAAATGTTTGGATTTGTAGCATTGCTCAACGTTCTATTAAATTGTGTTTGGATTATTTCACTCACATTTTTTCTTTTTGTTTTCAAATTCCTAACCAATCCATTATCCAAACCCACATTTAGATTGACATCATAATATGGAGAAGCTAGTCTTATGGAATTACTATACGGTGCCTTAATTTAAATGCGATTCGTTTATAATAGGTCATCACTCCTTTGTCGAAATTTTGAAAAACAGTATGTGTTAAGTTTTTGTAATTGATAATCCCGTTTGACAAAACTCCTTTCACTTGTAATTTTATTCTCTTTTATGTTTTAGTAAGAATGTGAGTGTTTAGATACGAATCCAACCAAAATTGTGCCTATGTAGAGGAGTTTGTAATCTTGATCTTTTCATATTTGCTACTTCGTTGACTATGTACGGGGATCGAACTGTTTGAGTGCTCAAGTGGTCATCCGTACACTCGAGCAGAGAAAATGATCATCTAGTATTTTTGCAGAGCGTTTGAACTTTTGGGAAGCAAATTTTACCACTCGAATAGTGAATGTTGCGATCAATCGGTCAACTTATATGTTTTGCACCGCCTATACTCACACCGCTCAAGCAAGTGAAATGTACACTCGAGTGGTCTTTGCGATCCAATTTACTATAAAGTGTGTTGTTTTCTTGGTTTAGGATTTGAACCATCCAGATTTTCAAAAATGAAGAAAAAACAAAGTGTTTTATATTAGAGGGTACCTTATAAGTGTCCTTAATGATTTGAGAGTAATCAATGGATCTGTGAACTTCATATCAATATCATCAAGCGTTTGTTTGTTTTGTTTTTTTTTTTATTCACCAAAGAGAGAGTTGTTCTTCGGTGAATTTCGAGAAATTTAGGCCTGAAGCTTTGGTGGATTCCAAAGTAGCTCATCGCTGTGGATTCAACATCAGAGTTGTAGATTCAACGTTGGACAAGACAATTCTGAGGTAAAGATGGTAGTGGAAGAGACACATTGAGGTCGGTTCAATTCAAACATGGATTCACTAGGTAATTGAGGGTATTCATGTGTAATTTTTTTTTGTCTTCTTAGTGGATTATTTTGTGACTTTGACCCGTGATTTTTTTTTTATCATAATTGGAGGCGCTCGCTGATTGTAATTTTTCCATGTTAAATTGGTTATTGATTTGTCTTTGATTGGAATTGTTATTTGTTGTTTAAAATTAAAACATATTCACATATCAATATGTCGTGGATTTCAGTTTTTTTCAGAATAGTAACAATTGATGATTTGATGATTAGTATGAAGCAATATCTGAAGGCATAGAATCTAATGAAAGTTTTACACATAGCAAGCAAGGTGTGAAAAATGATGTCTCACTGCTAAAAATAGGGGTTTTAGAGGCGTTTAAAAAACGCCGCTATAGGTCCCAAAAGCGTCGTCAAATCCTTTTGTGATGTTTAGCACCAAACGTCGAAGATGCGGCCGTCGCTATAACTTTATGGCGCTTTAAAAACGTCGCCATATCACTATAGGCGGCGTTTTAAACGCTGCTAAAAGTTCTCGTAACAGTACATGACATCACCAAGCTATTTAGCGACGTTTTTTAAAACGCCTTCGTATCTCTTTTTAAAAATCCAACCTTTGGTTTGATATTTAGCGACGTTTTAGAAACGCCGCAATTGCCTTCTTTTTTTTGTTAATTGTGTTAATTTTATGTGTTTGAACTAAAAAAATACCTATAATAAAACTAAAAAATAACACTAATAAGAAATAATAACTCCCATTCAAATAGTAAATGCAGCATTAATTCACTTTTCCAATCAATTTAATATCCAATCCCTATTATCCACAAAATAACATATCCACAAATGATATTTAACATTACCCACAAAATAACATATTCACAAATGAGGTTTTAACATTACCCGCAAAATAACATATCCAAAAATTAAATTCACAATTCTTAATGGAAAAAGGCAAAATATAAATTTTTTACATTGCCCATATGTGTACATTAATCATAAGATGGCCATCAAGTATGCTTATGATAATCATTGACACCTGCAAAGATTTGATGAACAAACAAAAAGAGTATAAAAATTGCTTATGAAATCAAGAAAGCCCCAAAACACAGAATAGAAAGAGCCAAAGTCATCACCATAGCCGACAATGCAAACCAATTATTTCAACCGTAAAGAAGAAACATCCAATACACAGATATAAACCAATCATTATTACCAAAACAAAAAACCAGACTTGTCTTGTATAAGAAAAATGTGGAAGGAGAAAAATTAGTATCAAGTGGGTCTGCTTGAATCAAAGGGAAAAATAACCCAAATCAAAAACTGATAAGAACTCCACTTGATGAGTACCAAACTGTTTTCGAATCCAAAAGCCCCAATAAACATTCCTGTGATACAATGATTAGAAGTAGGCTTCAGTAAACAATTATCTAAATTTCAAACGAGAAAAAGAAAACAAAGAAAAACAAAAGAACAAACAATTGAGAATGAAACAGAGCAGAAGAAATTTATATGGCAAATAAACACAATGATACAACAAAGCATTACACTTCAATACACCCAATAACTATATAACTGAAAAAAATATATTTACAGCAAAAATCAACCTCACAGGCCACAACCTCACTCTACCAATAATCATGTGCCTCCATCTGTCCAAGAACCTCAATGGAAAAACAAATTAATTAACATAATTTACTCTAAAAAAGTGATAGTATGTAAACAAGCAAGTAAAAAGAACCAATGTTTCATTTTCCCCGCATTTTAACACCTAGATTTGTAAAATTCACATTCCCTTAACTGTCTTATCCTACTTACCCTACAAACGTTTCATTTGATCTAAAATCATCAATTGCACAAACAAGAATCAGCCAGATTAATGGGAGTTACAAACTAGACTACCTCAGATTAACCTTTTAAAATGTATGTCACTAGGGAAATTGCCAAAAAAACAGAATGCCATAATCTTGTGCCATTTTTTTTTGTTCATTCAACATTATGATAATATGAAATTGCTAGCTCGAACATAAGCATTACTTGTGTTCTATCACACAATGTATGATGGTTTATTTGTTAAGACAAGCTAATGAGGAAAAAATTTCCAAGTAAAATTTTAGATGTCAGAGAAATTAATCAACTGTTTTACATTCAAATGGCAAAATAATATATACATCAGGGCATAATTGGTAATGGGTTTGACACCTCCAGCTCCACCACGAGTGGCACGATGGAATTCATCCTCAATGTAAAAGTTCAAGGGTGACAAACCTTCCTGCATATACAAAAACCAAGACCATATAAAACCTTTCACCTTTCTAAATGAAATTCATAATCTAATTTTTTATACCACCTGCAATAAAAATAAAACACTATTACAACAAGGATTAAAACTAGCACTATATACAAAGTTCAACTAGAGAGTAACACCGCTAAAAGAGAAAAAAGGCAAAAAAAAGGCAAAAAAAAAAAGGTTGTTAATAAAGGCAATAGAAGGACTTGCTGTGTGATCAATCTGCCAGAGAGATCTCATATTAATAGATCCATATAATTGAGTTAGAACCATCCTATCTGAAGACCAACATTTCAGCCAGTTGAAACTTCAGGGCTCACTATAAATTATGACCTATCTAAACTTGTCTAAATATTACTATGAAATAACTCATCTAAAATCCCAATTAAGAAATATATATAGCCTTACCATTTTGATTGGTTCTGTGCAACTATATGTGTAGCATTCTTACTCCATGGAAGATCCCACCATCCATCCATATTGCCATCATAATGGAATAATATAATTGTAAAACTCTTTGAAAGCAACTGAATTCACAAAAATTAGGTAAGGAACGTCCACATAATGACATGTCTATTGTCAACGAACTATTATAGCTTTGAATAACAAGCATTAATAGACAATTATACCTTTCGAATAATAACGTCAACATTACTCTTTTGTGTAATACCAACTGGAATTGCTAGTAAGTTATGAGAGCTTGAAACATCAACCTGATAATTGAAGAAAAGGCAGCCACATGTTAGCCACAAATATGAAGTAATGATCATCTACACATGTAACACAACTTTAGAATCGTATGAACAGATTTTGTCTGTTGATATAGAAAAATCAACAAATTGTAAATGAACTTTCTGACAAGTGCATGTTCAAAAGAAGTTTGCACATTGGCAAGTATAACAAGATCAAAACCTAACCTTTTCCCTCGAACTACTTGTTGACCATAGAGGTTTTAACTCCAAATCTGAACCAGCTTGAATGATGCCACAAGGTAAACTAGCCAAACTATTGTAAGCCAAATCACCTATCATGTGCAAGTTCATAAAACAACTGAAGAAAAAAAAAAATTGCAAAATCAAGTATCAGACCAAATCCAAAGCAATACGGAAGTTATGGCATGTTTAAGGCAGACAAATAAAAGAACAAAAACAACGCAATTTTAAAAAATAAGAAAATAGAACTGAAAATAATACCTTCGACATGTAGAAGGGGTTCAATCGTACGTTCATCTATCTGATGGTGAAAGAGAAGAGAAAACATTAGAGGAAGCAAAGTAAAAATGAAAAAGGCCCAACTTCATACGTCTATCTGACAGTACAAACAATTCCCATAAACTGCAGTTGTTTCATTTTGACTCTGCATGTTCCCTGCATTTCAATTGTTACATTGTTTAATACTCAAGCCTTCAATCAAGACATCTTTAAACACATGAAACAACTTGTTCACAACATCTATCCACCTAGTTTATGAAATTAGACAAATTACAACTATTTTCAAATAAAATATACCTTGTCAAATAATGTGTCTTTTCTTGACCACCCATATGCATGATTTAAATGCCCTCATGAACAGCAACAGCTTCAGTATATTCTCATAATAACAAACAACAATCAAAGTATCTGAAGAACATATTAATATCAAAATATAACCCAAGAGTAAAAAACATGTGAATGCTTATCTTATGATAAATGTATCTTTGTGGTGTGACATGCGAGTCGTGTGTTACTTATGTTGTAATTCTTTTTTGTATGTGTATATGTGGGTTTGTGTGTTTTTGTTTGTGTGTGTGTGTGTGTGTGTATGAGAGAGAGAGAGAGAGAGAGAGAGAGAGAGCCAACAATACTAACCATAGTCATTGTGTTGGAAAACACTCACTACAACAAAAACATACTTTAGTGGCACTACACTAGTGGCATATTTTTAGAAAATGCCACAAAAAATGATATTTAGTGGCACGTTTTTGAAAAATGCCACAAAACGATAAACATAAAAGGCTGTAGTGACATTTCAATGAACAAGTGTCACAAAACTACAACAAAAACATACTTTAGTGGCACTACACTAGTGGCATATTTTTAGAAAATGCCACAAAAATGATATTTAGTGGCACGTTTTTGAAAAATGCCACAAAACGACAAACATAAAAGGCTCTAGTGACATTTCAATGAACAAGTGTCACAACACTACAACAAAAACATATTTTAGTGACACCATACTAGTAGCATGTTCTTAAAAATGTCACAAAAAGAATATTTGGTGGCATTTTTTAAAAAAATGTCATAGAGCCACAAACATATAAGGCTCTAGTGGCATTTCAATTAAAAAAAATGTCACTTCGCTACAACAAAAATGTCACTACAAAAACTTTTTATGAATATTTGCAATGGCATTTTTTAAAAAATGTCAAATTAAAAAAAGTGTCACTTCACTACAACAAAAATGTCACTACAATAAATTTACACTTTAGCGACACTACACTAGTGGTATGTTTTTAGAAAATGCCACAAAAATAAAAATTGGCATTAAATGTTTTAAAAAAATGCCACAGAACCACAAACATATAAGGGTCTAGTGACATTTCAATAAAGAAATGTCACATCAATTTTATGGCATTTTATTATAACATAATGACACAAAAAATTATGTTCGTGACATTTAGCAATGGCATTTTTTCAAAAATGTCAGGATACTAGATAGGTGCAAATTACTTTTTATGGCACTTAGGTGAAAAGTGTCATAAACAAATATTTTATAACATTTTGAGAAATGCCACTAAGCCAAAAACTTTTCAAGCTTATAATGACATTTTTGAAAAAATAAAAAATGCCAATATATTTTCTAAATTTTTAAAATGCAGTAAATGACTAAAAATAAATAAATTAAACTCAATATATACTACAGGAAAAAAGCGCATTCGGCGACTAAATTTCCTGACCAAAAAAAATTTGGTCATTGAAAGTATAGCTTTCAGCGACCAAAACAGCATTAGTAGTAAAAAGTAAAGCTTTTTGGCGACTAAACAATTTTAGTAGCCAAAAGTCTACAATTAGCGACTAAAACTAAGTTTGGTCGCTGATTATATGGGTTTTAGTGACTAAAAAATTTTTAGTAACCCAAAGTAAAGCTTTTTGGCAACTAAAAAAATTTAGTAGCCAAAAGTCTACAATTGGCGACTAAAAATAAGTTTGGTCGCTGATTATAGGGGTTTTACCGACTAAAAAATTTTAGTAACTAAAAGTAAAGCTTTTTGGTGACTAAAAAAATTTTAGTAGCCAAAAGTCTATAATTGGCGACTGAAAACTAAGTTTAGTCGCCAAAAGTGGTCATTTTTTAGCTAGAGAACTAAAATCCTAAAGCGGGAATTAAATTTTTTGGCGACCAAAATTTTGGTAGCTGAAAGTGCATCTTCGGCGACCAAATCCGATTTTGGTCAACAAAAGTTAAGTTCTTTAGCAATTAAAAAATAATTAGTAGCCAAAAGTATAGAATTGACGACTAGAAAATATTTTTAGTCGCCAAAAGTGGTCTTTTTTATTTTGCTAGTAAATAGTTTATTTTACATAAATTATGTTCAATAAAATAATTATGTTTATACATATACTATTATATTAATATGGATGTATGTACTATATAAATAATATATGTTGCATATATAATCATGTGGTGCCATAAAGGTGTAGTGGGAGGAGTATGGTGTATAAGGTTTATGGTGCGGGAGGTTGGCGGTTCGAGTCTCCGCAAGAGCGGATCAAATTGTCTACAACGAATTATCGTCACGAATGACACTTGATAGCGTCACGAATAGTGCCTACCATGACATTAGAGTGTCACGGAAAGGTTTTAATTTTAATGGTGTAATGACACTTATAAGTGTCACTAACTCTTTTTTTAATGGCGCTTGATAATGCCACAAATAATATCTACTATGACATCAAAATGTCAGTGAAAGTTTTTAGCCATAATGGTGTAGTGGTACTTGCAAGTATCTACCGTGGCACTAGTATCTACCGTGGCACGGATACAAATGACACTTGTTCAAAATGTCACAAGACTAAAAAATGTCATTAAACCAATAGTTTTGTGGCACTTTTAATTGTCACTAAACTAAGAAAATGTTGTAGTGTTTGTTTAGTGGTAAAATTATAAGAAAAAATTAATTCATTTAGTGTGTGTACAGAAAGTAAATGATATGTGGAAATATAATTACCTAATTATTTTGGACCCCTTATTTTTTAGTTTTTTATTTTTATTTTATTACAATAATAACTTCAAGTGAAATTACTAGAGAGGACATCAATAATTTTGGGACATACATCTCACAATTAAGCCTACATGCCCACTACATCATGAGTTAGGGTTTATGAGAGTACCCACCTTTATCACCACCCAACCACATCTTCCCCAAATCCCACATTCAAAACCTACCTACTCTCAAAATCTTGAAAATCATTTGGCAACAATATTTTGGCGGCAACGATGACAACTATTTGATTACATACACTTCTCCAACAATGATAATGAGTGAAAGTTTTTCCAGCAATCACAATTTTATGAGACGAGAGGAGTACAACAATAAAAGCTTAGAAAATGTTCATAACTTTGATGGTATTTTTAGCTCAGAAGGGATTGGCTTTGTAAGAGTAAGTTTCTTCAAAAAAATGGCAAAACTAATAAAATTGTTCGTCATTTTTTTGAGACTGAACTTCTGAATATATGACTGAAATTCGGGAACATGGGCCCGAACTGAAAAATCTAAATTCAATGCGGTAAACTCTTTTGTAAAATCTAGATGCGTCTTGTTTAATGTGATTATTGATTTAGGCAATCTAATTAAAAATTAATGCAAGCATGATCTATATATATATATATAGAGAGAGAGAGAGAGAGAAAATCAACCACAATTCAAAACATTTTTTATGTGGACAAATAACAATGATAATCCACCAACTTATAATAAAAAACCACGGGCCCTCGATGAGACGAAATATCTACTATACAAGAAAGATAGTATAAAAGATCTCTTATAAAGGTCAATCCTCCACTCCACGGCACACGTCTTTACTCGCTCTACATGTACCGCCACAGTCTTCACTAGATTTCTGTCACGGTTATTGAATCGCCATGATGCCAATGACCTCGGAATCCATCGACGTCTACAATCTTGGAATCCACCAAGAAGATTCACTTTTAGAAGATGTGAATAAACTTTTACAAAAGGCTTGATGATCAACTTGAAGCACTTAAAGACTAATAGATCATCAAGCAAATATGAGAGTGTTACAAATGAAACATCACTACAAAGATCACTCTAAAAAATAAACAAACTCTCTCAAAATTATTTTTCTCAAAAGTAAATCTCTCACTAAGTTTATAAATATTAAGCTCTAGAGAGGTAGAAAATGTACTGAGAGAGATATAAAATAATCTTAGAGAGGTACCAAAACAATTCAGCAACGCTTGCTTGAAATAGAGCAGGAAGTGTCCACCATCGCAGGCACAGTCTTTAGTTCGTGAGCACATGTCAAAAAATACTGGGAGCTGGATTTTCGGATTCTCCAAATCGCGAGCTAATCGCGGGCTCCATGAACATCGCTGGCATGATGGTAATATTTGCAAGCACTATTAAGCATGCTGGACCAGCTGCTCTTGCGGGCTTTGTTACTACTTTTGAGTCCACAAATTCGGCCATACGTTGTCAGCTAAATACTCCAAGTTCCAACAAACAGCCACCTTGAGTTGTACACTCTCATTTTTCCACATGTGCTGTGACAATCAATTTGCATTCCAACAAGATCTTCCACAAATTGTATGTTTTTTTTAAAAAAAAAAAATTAAACAAAACATCAACACATTTTAAAGCATTAACACCTTTAGCTTTTTTCATTGCCCATTCCTATTACTTTGTTTGCCATGTGCCATAAACAAAATCAAAACAAGTTGTTGCTTTGATTCATCGAGAAATCAAAATAATTTTTTTTTAAAATCAACATTATCACAATATCTCGAGCATTCAAAAACTTCACTTGTTCTTTGGCGCAAAAAAAAAAAGAAAAAGAAAAAGAGTCACTTTTGTTGTTTAGAAAACTTTTAATCAAATTATAAGACCAAGAAAATAATGAAAGATCATCAAATAAACAAAGTAAAGAAAATAATGATCAAAGAAATAATGAAAAGCAAAAATACTTTGAATCAATAATCAAGATACTAAGTTTTGTCAAGAA